CATATCCAAAGGTTCTAAGAAAATGAAGAATTAGTAAACTGACTACAGAATTCTGAGCTTCAGAATTAATAGAGATAAGAAAATTAAAAGAAGAAATCAACTTCATATTTTTTCATATCCAAAGGTTCTAAGAAATACCTAATGGGACAACAATATAGGAAGAATAATTAAGACTCAAGAAGATTGATCTTCTAGAACTTGGATCGTGTCCATATTATGTCAAATAACTGGTTAAAAATTCCAAAACAATAACATTCAAACCAGTTTGATATTATAAATTTGTTAGAGTAGGTCCCAGTGCACTGCACACAGTAGGCATTCAATAAATATAAATAATCATATTAATGACTTACTAAAATTTCAATGTTTTCAAACTATTGAGTTGAAAGTAAGTGGCTACAGCCTTATTCTGTGATTATACAAAAAGTTCTTAGGACAACTCTAACTGATTATACTGATCACTTGAAAACCTTAACAGTCTGCTTCTTTTTTGGACTACATATATAGTCCTGGTTCACACAAAGTGAATTGGACAAGAACTTTCAAGTGTTTAAAATTGGGTTCAGTCTTTTATCTTTGTACAAAGTCTTATGTCCAAAAGTAGAAAGAATGAGAAAGGTAATAGATGGAAACATGTCATTGGTAACAAGAGAAATCTAATGATTTAGTTTAAAACTCTCTAAACTTTGAAGCTGAAGAGAGTTTAATTTACATCTACAGAACCTTATGCACTTAAATGAGCTATTTTTGTTATTTTGCATGTAATATGTCTTTTGTTCCTGCTGGGTTTCAAAGACAAGTCAAAATAAATTTACAGTAATAAAATTAAGGGCTGAAACATACTGTTCTTGTATATGTTCATAAACATTTTTTCCACCTACTGTTACTTGCTACGGAGTTTCAAATACTCTTGACTTGGTTGGTAGCAAAACTTTGTTAGTATATTTTATCATAAAAATACCCAAATACAAAAAAATGTCATTTTGAAAGCCTGATAACTTTTTTCAAAAATTACATCACTCGGCCAGGTGCAGTGGCTAACGCCTGTAATCCTAGCACTCTGGGAGGCTGAGACGGGTGGATCGTTTGAGCTCAGGAGTTTGAGACCAGAATGAGCAAGAAGGAGATCCCGTCTCTACTAAAAATAGAAAGAAAATTAGTTGGACAACTAAAAATATATATTAAAAATTAGCCAAGTATGGTGGCGCATGCCTGTATTCCCAGCTACTCAGAAAGCTGAGGCAGGAGGATTGCTTGAGCCCAGGACTTTGAGGCGGCTGTGAGCTAGGCTGACTCCACGGCACTCTAGCCCCGGGGAACAGAGTGAGACTCTGTCTAAATAAATAAATAAATAAATGTTACATCACAGATGATAGAGAAAGAAACAATTCGTGGTTGTTAACGTCACTGAACATATTGAGTTAATGTATGCAAATGACAACAACCTCCCCCTTCTTCTTTCACTTTTCAGTCAAATAAAAGCATTTTTGCAAGTTGTAGATTAAATCATGTTTTGAATTTAATTCATGTGCTTTTCTTGGCATAGGAAAGACTACTGACCTTCTTTAAGTACATCAAGCAGGGCATCTTGTGTTGTTTGAAGATATTTTGAGTTTGCTTTTTAATGTGAGTCCTATGTGAGCAAGCAGCCTAGCTTGAGCATGTTTTGAAAGTGGAGAGGAGTGCCAGATCCCAATTCTCTGGTGGAGTGCTGGCAAGTTGCCCAACTCAATATTCATCTGCTGAAGAGAAAAATATTGATGTTCACAAAAGAAAAGAATTAAATATGCATTTTAAAAGTGTAAACAAAATGTGTCACTTTGTAAGCATTTGAGGATTAGGAAGAATCAGACATTTCAACTTTTATTGACACATCGACAGCAGCAATGATAAAAAAAGAAGATAGAATGTCATAGGGTTTACTTACTGTTTCTTGAAATCCTCATACCAATAACAGTGAGTGTTATTACTGGAAGCATATAAAGTTTTTCTAATTTCACAAACTGCCAACAAAACAGTGATCTAAGGTATATAGCATTTTATATATGGGGGGGTACAGAAGATATTTATTGGTTGTTTTTAGCCTTGCATTTGTTCACATGGATAAATTTTATCCCTTCTGGGATATTAATTCGTTATTTTTTTGCAAAATTCATGAGATAAAGGTAGGCAATTTCACAGAACATTTTGCTTATTTGACCAAATACACAGAGATTATTGGGACAAGTTAAAACTACCACATACATATATTATTATAAGATTCAATTATACTTCCTGCAATGTATAAATTGGTCAAAGTTGTCACATTGAATTTTAACTATAACCAAACCCTTCAAACCTTGGCAATTAATGGTCATGAAAATACTGTGTCACTAAGCAAAACTGGGGCAGATCATGACTCTCAATACATATTCGTTATGCAGCGTGAACAAGTGAAAATAATGTTGGTCTTTGGGAGCACTTCTTTTACAGCCACATCAAGTTTTATTTGATTATGTAATTATTTTATTTTCATTTATTTATTTTTAATTGACATGCAATTGTATATATTTAGGGAGTATAAAATGATGTTTTGATATATGTATACAATGTATATAATAAATCCAGGGTCATTATCATATACATCACCTCAAACATTTATCATGTCCTTGTGTTGGGAACATTCAAATCCTCTGTTCTAAATGTTTTAAAATGTACAATAAAATATTATTAACTATCTAGTGCATTTCCAGCCTCTAATAGGCAGTATTCTACTCTCTACTTCTATGAATACAACTTTTTTAGCTTTCACATATGAGTGAGAACATTAAATATTTGCCTTCTGTGACTGACTTATTTCACTTAATATAGTATGTTCCAGGCTTATCCATATTGCAGCCAATGACAGGGTTTCATTCTTTATGACCAAATAGCATTGCAATGCATGATTGCATGTCGTATTTTGAGAAATGTGTCTTGAAATCATTTGTCCATTTTTAAATAGGATTATCTGATTTTTGTTGTTGTTGAGTTTTTTGAGTTCCTTGTATATTCTAGATATTAATTCCTTGTCAAATGAACAGTTTTCAGATATTTTCTACCATTGTATAGGTTGTTCATTCATTCTATTGATTGGTTCCTTTCCCGTTTGGAAGCTTTATGGTTTGATATAATTTCATTTATCTAGTTTTGCTTTTGTTGCCTGTGCTTTTAGAGTCTTATCCACAAAATCTTTGTCCAGACCAATGACCTGAAATGGTTTTCCTGTTTTCTTCTAATAGTATTATAATTCTGGGTCTTAAATTTAAAACTTTAATCCATTTTGAACTTTTCGTTCCATTTGTGAGAGATAAGAGTCTAGTTTTATTTTTCTGGGTATGAATAACTACTTTTCCCAGCATCATTTACTGAAAAGGGTGTCCTTTCTCCAGTGTATGTTCTTGCTACATTGGTCAAAAATCAGTTGGCTGTAAATATATGGATTTATTTCTTGGTTCTCTTTTTCTGTTCCATTGATCTGTCTGTCTGTTTTTATACCAGTACCATGCTGTTTGGTTCTTACAGCTTTGTAGTATTTAATATATTTTGATGTCAGATAGTGTGATGACTCTAGCTTTGCTCTTTTTGGTCAGGATTGGTTTGGCTTTGGAGACTTTTGTGGTTACATACAAATTTTAGGATTGATTTTTCTATTTCTACGAAGAATGTCATTGGTACTTTGATAGGGATTGCATTGAATCTGTAGATCACTTTGCGTAGTATGGTCAGTTTGACAATTTGAGAGCATTTGAAAGTCATTCTATCGCATTAACAAATAGTATTAAGTTGGCATGGAACTTTTAAAAAATAAGAGTAATAAATTAAGAGTAATAAAATAAGAGTAATACATTAGAGTGATTAGATTCCTCCGTAAGGTGAGTCCCTTCTATCTCCTGAATAATTGAGCTATTTCAGTAGATAAACACCTCTTTTAATGTATGATCATATTTCTATTTTATGATGAATAAATACATCTTGAACAAATGAGTGAATTTCCTATTAGCTTTTTAAGAGGAGCCATGCCTTAAGTGTCTCTTTTTCCTCAGAGCCCACAGAGAATTTGATACAAAGTAGACCATCAGCAAATGTTTATTCCATACCCATTCCAAAATATAGAAAAAATTGAATGAATATATCTCAAACTTATAATCAGGTTCTTCCCTATAAACACAACTCAAGCTCTGCAAGATACCTATTATATTGAATTTTTAAGTATCTGTAAAAACCCAATTAGAGTTTAACTATATATTTAACAAAAACATTTTTATATGAAGTATACAAATAGTGACTATCTGAAGAAACTTTTAATGCCCAAATACATTTTCTATGTATTGTTTAAGTTGCTTAGGAAAGAGCAAAGCCTTGGAGAGCAGACGTTGGTGTAAATCCTGGCTTTATCAAGTAAAAAATCTGTGCTGAGGTAAGTTATTAAACCTCACTGAATCCATTTCCTTACATATAAAATGTGGTTAATAATATTCATCTCAGATAACTAAATAACAGATATGAAAGTTTATTGTGGCATAAATAACTGGATAAAAGGCATATACAACAGTTTCTCAATTATGTTTTCTGAATATTTTGCTTGTTACTGTTCATAATTGTGTGAGTATTGCTAAGGCATGCTTAACTAAATGAAGTTATCTGATAATGGAGTTTGAGTTCTCATAATAATGCTTAGACAATTGTCTAGAGACAAATTACAAGTTCTAGGATGGCATTATATTTTGTGGGGTGCGGTGTCAACGCCATTGCAAGATGGCGCCTGTTTCCGGCTTTGCCTAGAGCAGTAAACAAGTTCAGCGCACGCGCAATTGTCGGTTACCCTGTGGCACAAGCATGCAAATGAAGGATCCTACTATGGACCAATGCTTTGGCGGCTCGACAGCTGAGCGGCCTATCCCAGCTTAGGGGTTGTGCTTCTAGGGTATATAGCAGCCTGCGTGCTGCCGGGCTGGGTCTTCCGCATCATGTAAGTCTAAAGGGAACCCCATTAAAGCACTGTCAGAAGAACTCCAGTTGCCGCGTCTTCCTTGCTGGCGAGGCGGGCGCGACAATATTTTAGTAATATGATCATTGTGTTCAGAAGCAGAAGATCTACATTAGAATCCTGATTCTTCCACTTCCTAGCTCTGTGACTTTGGGTAAGTAATTTAATCTCTCTGAGTTTTACATTACATATTTTTAAAATGAAGATAATAATACTATCTTAACTACTTCTAAGGTTGTTCTGAGAATCAAATGAGATAATGGATGTGAAAGTACTTTGTAAAGTTCCAGGCACCATGAATCTGCTATGTGTTTATTATTATTGCTTTCCCTGTTTTAGATTTGGCTTGGTAGTTATGCTCATTGATTTATCAGGGTTATTATTTAGTGGCTAAGAGAATTGATTGAGAATAATGATATAAATTGCTTAGGAAACACATCACACATCATCTATAATGATACATTTTTATTTCAGTCTCTACCACAGATATGATATGTGACCTTGAAAAAATAAATTACTTTTTCATTTCCCAGTTCTCAAAATGGAAGCAAAGACAGCTACAATTAGTGTAGGTTAATATGCAGATTGCAAGGGTGATAACACATAGTGTGAGATACTGGATTAAGAGGGATGCTGTAATTGCAAATGTCCCATTAACAATAAGGATATTTCACTATTCAATCTGTTTCTTTGGCTAAGAAAGACATTGAGTCAGATTTTCCCCTGCCGTTAAACTACTATGTTAACGTTTCATTAAATAGAACTGTAGTAGTTCTTAAATGTCAATATAAGTAGATCACTCCCAGAGAGTAGATTTTCCATTGGGAGAATCTGCCTTATTCAGTCATAATAAGAACACTTCAAGAATGAACTCTTAAAATTCCCTATAAGGTATTTCCCCAAATATATAACTATTGAGAATTGTCGTGTATAATGTTTTTAAACTTTAGTGATTTTTTAAAAATCAAAATATTAATTCAAAATAGTTGTCCAACCAAAAGACCTTAATTTTGCATATTATTTTCCATTAATTTCAGGCAGAGAGCTCCAGTCCATATAAAGGTGTTTTGTTGCCAAGTAACCATTTTTCTGATGGCAGCTAGGTAAATGGTGGTGGGGGAGGGAAATAGTGGAGGTTATGAAGGGATAGAGCACTTTTGGTAATAGAGACATTTAATCAGGAAACTATTACAACGAATAATTGGAAAATAAATCTTTATCTATTATTATCAGATTCTATATGTGTTAACAGATATGGAATTTGTATGGGTGACAGAAAGATTGAAATCACTGGAAGCTTTCAGCCATGAAGGAGTTGTGCATTGTAAACACTCAAATCAAGATCTTTCATCCATGACAGAACGGCTTGTTATTTTGCACAAAAAACAATAAACTGGATCATAAGCAAAGTGAATAATTTTTTACATACACTACTTCATGTATAACAATCCTTGTAACATATCTGTCAAGTATATTATGTATAAATACAAAGGGAATTTTAAAATACAACTTAAGGCAGGAAAAACAGGGGAAAAAACTGTCATGGTGATTCAATTGTCTTTGCCTTATGCTTAGGAAGTCAAATTGGTCCAGAAACAGATAATCACAAAGACCGACTAATTGCCTTTCACAAATTACCTTCCTGGTGGTGAATATCTAAAATGGAAAATATTACTGAAAGATGGCTGTAATTATTTACTGAGAGGCATAAGAAATTTAGGTGCTAGGATATTTTCTTTATCATTTCCACCTTACTGATGGGGTCTTACTAGTAATCAGTATGTGACAAACATACATTTTATTTTCTGTACATCCAAATGACTCACAGTTAATTGTACAAACAAAAATATGTCTGCTAAATCATGAGAATATTTTCTTAACACATTTTTTTGAGACAGAGTCTCACTCTGTTCCCTGGGCTAGAGTGCCGTGGAGTCAGCCTAGCTCACAGCAACCTCAAACTCCTGGGCTCAAGCAATACTTTTCCCTCAGATTCCAGAGTAGCTGGGACTACAGGCATGCGCCACCATGCCCAGCTAAGTTTTTCTCTATATTTTTAGTTTTCCAGCTAATTTCTTTCTATTTTTTAGTAGAGACGGGGTCTCACTCTTGCTCAGGCTGGTCTCCAGCTCCTAAGCTCAAACGATCCACCTATCTCGATCCACCTATCTCGGCCCTCCAGAGTGCTAGGATTACAGGCGTAAGCCACCTCGCCTGGCCCTTCTTAATACAATTTGAATGCAGTTATAATTTTAGTTTTCCAATAAAAGGAAGTTAATGTTCTTTTTCTTTTGATAAAATGCTACATAAAAATCTTTAGCCAAGTCAAGATAATAATAAAATAATATAGAGGCCCAAAGACAAGGAAGGGTTTTGAAATGGAATCAAATATCAGGATTAAAAAAAAATAAAAATAAAAATAAAACAGACTTGTGCTTCTAAAGAAGTTAATTGACTCAATTAACTTTTTAAAAAATTATATCAAAGCCTGTTGCCAAAAGTTGTTTCATATTTGAGGAATTCAATTATGCTTGAAAGAAACTACACCATTAATAGGTCAATATACTTATTGTTTAGTGGATATAAAAGAAAAATTACTAGAGAAACTTTTTTCCAAACCTGACCTCAAATTAAAATTTAACAAAGTCTCATTAATTTGTACCTTGGAAGTTAAGCTCAGAATGAACAATTGCCATATATTTCCTTGAGTTTTAGTATACCTTGCTTACTTGAATTCTCTCATTAATAAAAGTTAGGGTGAATGTTCTTTCTCTCTCTCCAGTCAAGCTTGAGGACACAACAATTCACACATACACATAGACACAATGGACACAGTCAGGGATACATGCACTCACAGACACCCCCCCATACACATATCTGATACTTTCAAGAAAATCACTTACTATGAGGATAATGCTTATAATTTATACAATACATATTCATTTTCTATTAAAATCTAAATGTTTTATATGCAAATTTTAAAATCAGTGACAGAATAACTTTAGATTATTATAAAATGATGTACAAGAAAATTAAATCATCATAAATGGTAAACAGAGAAAACTTACTGTTAATAAGCTGATTTTAAATCGGTGACTGACTTCTGATATGAAAATGCACATTTAAAATGCATGTGTTACAGCTCTCTTAAAATTTATCTAGCAGTTTTCCTGGTTTTCACTGGAACACTTTCCCCCACAAAAACAATAAAAAAATTTAAAAAAATAAAATTCTTAAAAATTAAAATACTTTGAGAATAAGGAATGTAGTAAAACTTCAATTAATAAGAACAGTTGAGCAAAGAGGTATTAGTGGAGGTTTTGGCTTTTGGCTTTTGTTTGGTGCTGCTTTTTTTTGGATGTGTGCCTTATTTTGTATTGATTAACAAAATCTTAAGAATAAAACCTCTTTTTTCAATCTCAGATATTGAAGACCTTTCTAAATCATATAGTCCATGTCCCTTTCTTGTTAATTTTTTTAGACATAAAATGATCAGGTAAATGTAAACCTTATAGTGCCTAAAAATTATTGTTTTATATGTTAGTGCTCATGATAGAATAGCAACAGTAGAGACAATATATTTCCTAGAACTCCAGCTAGCACCTGAAAACGGGTTTCTAACCCTGATTCTTGGTATTATCCAATTTCCTTCACAGTTCTTTCTCCATGTCTTAGATTTAAGTCTGTTATCCATTTTGAGTTGATTTTTATGAGAGGTGAGAGGTGCAGATCCTGTTTCAGTCTTCTACATGTGGCTATCCAGTTTTCCCAGCACTATTTATTGAGCAAGGATTCTTTTCCCCAGTGTATACTGTTGTCTGCTTTGTCAAAGATCAGATGGCTATCTGAGGATGGTTTTGCATCTGAGTTCGCTATTTTGATCCATTGGTCTATGTCTCTATTTTTGTGCCATTGCCATGCTGTTTTGATTACTTTACCCTTGTATTAAAAGTATAGCTTGAAGTCTAGTAAAATAATGCTTCTTGATTTGTCCCTTTTGTTTAAGGTTGCTTTGGGTATTCGAGCTCTTTTCTGGTTCCATACGAAGTATAAAATTATTTTTTCTAGATCTGCAAAAACTGATGTTGGTATTTTGATGGGAATTTCATTGAATATGTAAATCACTTTGGGTAGTATAGACATTTTAACAATGTTGATTCTGCTGATCCATGAACATGATATAAAAAACATCATAAACTAAACTTGTGAGTTTTCAACATTTATTATTTACCAGATTATTATTTAATAAGAGAATAGAAATAACTAGAAAACAGTTTTTCATAATTGTTTACAGAAATTTATAGCATAATACAGGAACACTGAAGTTTTCATTATGTTAATTTTTTGTGTTAAGCAAACCCAGAAACCTAAGACTTGCAAAATGTTACCACCTGCTCACTGGATATTTTGTGTAGCAGTTTTACGTATAGGTCATATAGTATAAATCCTTATTTTTAAAGTCAAATCTTATGTATTTTATAAATTACTCACTCAAATTACTTATACCTCCAAACAGCAAATTAAAAAATCCTCGTAATTTAAATTGCAACACAAATTCATATTTTCTCCTAGGATGGTAATAGTTCTGTTTAGTTAATTTTTGTGTACATAACTATGTATCACATAAATGTGTATAAAATGTTGCTTTGATTTTAAAACACATTATAGATCTAAAGTTTTCAATTCATTAACAGTGAATATAATGACTTTGGAAGCATTGAGGTATCTCATGTCATAATGCAGCTATCCAACGTCCAAAAGCCATACAATAAAAGTATAGAAACCACTTGATAAGAAATTTATATCAGAGACACACTTGTTAAGAATATAGGTGTTTTTAAAATTTGTTTTGCCAAATGAACAATGATCATCATCCATTTGTATGCAGGATGGTACTGATACTTGTTTTTTGCTTTGCTTTTAGATTTAATCTGCTGTGCTGTTTAAATAACAGGATATCTGGAACATAAGATTGGGATCTGGCACAAAGTCACATAGTCATTTCTACATCCTTATAAAAACAGATTTTGGGATTATTTTGCTTAAGGTAGGAATAATTTTTATACTTCAAATTAATAAGCACATTTCCAATTCCTAATCTAATATCATTTGGTTAGTATTTCACATTACTTAATTTGTAAACATTTAGTATTTTCCTGTAATGATGATAATTTAAAAATAATATAATTTGGATTCTGTTCACATGGCAGCTGTAAAACATTATAGATTAGAAAAGTTTTGATTAAATTAGTGAGGTGGTAGTCACTTCAACAGGTTTTTAAGCAATTTGGGTGGCAAAGTCAGTTTCAAGAGTGCCCATACCATAATCAATACACATCCGTTAATACTTGACTGCCTAAAGACAAATAATAATAGCACATTTATGGAGTGCTTACTATGTGCTAGGCATTTATCTAAGCACTTTACATTATTACCTCCCACTTTACAGATGAGGTATCTGAAGCAAAAAGAGATTATATAACTTGCCTAAAGTTACTTGGCAAGTAAAAGTAAGCGGTGAAAAGCAGATATTAATGTGTTTGACTCTAGAGTCAGCACTTTTAACCACTATATTGAACTGCCTCCAATGGCAATCCACTGAAAGTGAGGTAAGAAATATTACAATGCTTCAGTTTTAAAGATTTTTAGCTGGTATAAAGGATATTGGATCTTACCTAGGTTCTAAAAATAGCAAATAGCTCAACCTTGAACATATCCTATGACCCTTCTAAATCCTCAGTTTTGTCACCTAAACAATGAAGGCCTGAATAAGTTAGTATCTAAATTTCTTAAACTTTTGCAATTTTATGTATCTATGACTTTTAACTAGAGTTCAAAGCAGTAGGAGTCAATGCATTAACTACTTACAGTGTGGAGAACAGAAAAAAAGGACCATTGATTCTTAAATTCAGTTTGATTGATGCTTTCCAAATGGATGTCCAGCAAGCTTATAAACAAAACCTTTGAATGTTATTTTTTTTTTACTTAGAAAACATTATTTCCCACTTCTTTATTTCGGACACTAATACTGATGTTTCAAGACTTCTACCAACATTTACTTCATTCAGAAAACTTTCCTTTTCCTTCAGGAAGAATTCTTTTTTCATTGCCATATCACACACTGAGATGACTTTCATTTTAATCATAATCATTCTTTCCTTTTTACCCCTCTCCCTGTTGTTCCATGAAGCTTCTTACTTTTTTTTTAAAGCCTGGTTGTGTTCTACTTATCTTTTCATAGTTTAGGCATTATCTTTTCAAATATTTCTTCATTGGACTAACTTCCTCCCCAGGTTGCTTGAATCTCCCTTTTCTAGGGCTCTGGTACTATGCAGCACACATCTCTTTCAGAATGCTGAATAGATTGTATTCAAATGATGTATATACTTGGCTTCCTCAATCATTATATGATCCAAGAAGACAAGGGTCATGTTTTATTCATCCTCATATTCCCAAACCTAGAGACATTGCCTGGAACATAGTAAGTGATAAATATATCTTTAATAAACTGAACTTAAATGGTGATTCATGGAAGACATAGCCTCAGGATAGTCCTTTAATACATCCTAAAAAGGGGGCAGTCACATCTTACTTGTTTTCACCTTATAGAAAATTATGAGAACTTGTAAGACAAAATACTAGTTTGAGGTCTTAAGACTAGATGATATACAAAGAAAGAACACATATACCAGCTATCATTATCATTATACCTTATAAATATCTGAGCAGTGATAAAGCTTCTGATAACAGTAAGTTATACCTCATGAAGATAGATTTATTTTTATAATACAAAAACTAAAAGGGTTATAGTGAACTTACAAGGTGAATATCATATGTAAGTTAATTTTTCAAAATAAAATAAAATAAAATAAATGTTTATTCCAATATATATGCTGGCTGTTAAACTTTTCCCATAGGTGCACTCAGCAGCTATGATCTGGGCCTTTAAATACAGAATTAATAAGGTATTTGTCGTCTTCAATAGGTCAGTCCCAATTGGTATGAATATAAGTATTTTATATCAGTTCATTGGGGAGTTATATGTTGTGGCAAATAATTATTTATTCAAGTTTTACTTTAATGAAAAGCATCCTATTAATACTACAAGGGAAAAGCATGGATACTATATAACATCTTTTTCAACTCTAAATGTTTCATTATATTCATATCTTTGGAGCAACATTGCATGTTTAAATGAGATTTCTGATTATGCTATTTCTCTCCTATAGACAATGCTACTTAATGCAACACAACAGTCCAAAGAACTATCAAACTAAATATTTCAAAAGTGATGAATTAGCAGCATGAGAGTTAAAGGACATTATGATGGATTGGGCAGAAAGCTGTTAAGTATTACCCCATGATATAAGCAAATGTGGACATGGTGTTTTATGAGAATAACACTAGAATTGTACAAATTTTGAAAGAATTGAATTTTAGAATATTAATTATACTCATCATTTCAGCACAAGAGCATTATGGAATCTCTATTAGATAAAGTAGAAGATCCACTTTGCAATCCACATTCATTTGAGGTGTATCAGTGGCATCAATAATTGTTACCTTAGGCTACTGCAAGAGCAAAGATGAAGAAAAAAGTCTGTGTGGTTCATTTCATAATAGAAGACATAGAGTCCTTGAAATTGAGATGATACACTTGAGCACATTTAGTGTTCAGCAAATAATTTCTGAATGTCACTGATCCTAGATCATTTTTAAAAAGCTACTTCCCCTTACTTTGAAAGATGTGTTATGCTGCATTTCATTACTTTTCTCCTTACCTTATTCTTCTTTTGTTTTAAAATAAGTGATGAGGCTTTCGGTGAAGATTAAGCACTAGCAGGCAGTAATGCAATGGCCCAAACACAGTTTTAATTGGAACCTCAAATCCTGTGGAAAAATAAGAAATTAAATCATTAATAAAATGCACTTCCCAGAAGACACTATGTTGATATATGTTAAGAAGCCTCCATTATTTTTTTTCTATAAGATTTCTATAGATATAGTTGCAAAATGTAAAATTCACTAGCTATGTCATATTAAGGTTATATAATGAAATTCAGGCTCTTCCAAGGTTTCAGGTATCAAGGAATTAATAAAAATCCATAACAATTTTACATGTACAAAATGTTAACATTATTATGCCAACATTTATCCTCATATTTTCTTATAAGGTTATAGTACATCCATTGCTTAATGCAATCCTGGAAGTACTACAGAGGTCTTTCAGTATGACCTAAGCAAAACCAAGGCATGGTGTTAAACAACTCAAGCTGCCACACAGTTGAAAGTATAGGAAGAAATGTCATTACTCAGGAGCTTTGCAAAAACTCTAATTATAACTGCTATCATTAAAGAAAATCTTGAAACAATCTAGTGAGTCACAGATTATACGGAGCACAAGCCTGAAGACCATTATAAAACAATACAGAAGCCATATTCAAGAAGTAGTAGATTTATGATCCTATTGAAAAGATCAATTCACTATGTATTTGGACAATTATTAAGCAACCCAGGGCCCAGTTTTGCTTAACAGCAATGCAAAATAGTATAACAAAGAGATTAAATCTAGTTGGGGGTATTAACTGTAAATGTAACAACTATAGATCAGTCCATATACATTAGGAGTAATGATCTAAAGCAATGATTAACCATCAAGTGGAATATTATTATACTTTAAAAATTGCTTTGGGTAATCTGTTTTAGGGAGTAGGAGTTTATCTTCCTAAATAACATGTTTTTTCATTTCATAAATATTAAGGTGAGTATATATATATATATATATATATATATATATAGGATCCATACAATATCCTAGAATATGTTCTATAAAGACATGCCACTTTTATGTGTGACACCTTTTAGTATTCTGTAGTGAACATAAGCAATCAAAAAATGATACAAACAGCTAAAATTTTCTTTATTTCTCCTTGCCTCACTGATTTCCAATGGCTTATTTACTTTTTAAACATTTAAACAGATAAATCTAAGGCCTATACTAATGGCATTTAAAAAGTTACACATTTTTTTCAAGTGTATTTTATTAATTATAATTTGCTATTGTATTGCATTTAATCTGTCATATGTTGATGAGAGGATGTATCCCAAAGATTATCAACATGATTGCAATGCTATTCTGCTTTTATCTGCTATCACTAAAATATTATCTTAATATCCCAATAATATTTTGCATTTTGATAAACACATTAAAATCACTTTTCCAAAAAATACTTAATGCTCACTAATAATATTCACATGACTACTAAGTGTCATGTTAATTAAAATAAAAAGATGAATGGACATGAATTATGCCCTCATGGCATTTGTAGTCAAGCAAGGGAGATGACAATGACAAGCAAGGGAGATGACAACTAAAAGAGAAGGTAGAATATGATGAGTATCTTAAGAACACAGTGAGCAAAAAAATCCACAGTAGTTTACAGGAAAAAAAAAATGTTTTCTTTCATCTCTGAGGATCAAGAAAGAATCTGTGGAAGATGTGGCATTTCTGCACGTCTTTAAAGATTTGGGCAATTAAAGATCAAACAGTGCATTTGGCAGAGAGAAAACTGCATGGAAAAAGAGGAAAAAGTACAGGGAAAGGGAAAGTATAGGGCAGATTTGGAAACCAGTGGGCAGCTTTATTTAGTTGAATCACAAGATACATAGATTGAGGTAGTGGAGGTAAGGCCTGAAAGATAGATAATTATCAGACAGTGGAGACTCTGAAATATAAGCCTAGGGAAATTGAACTTGTTTCTCTAGGCAATAAGACTCACTGAAGGTTTTGCAGCAGGGAGTGATGTGATAGGATTTTGCTTTAGGAAGATTAATCTTTCAGAAGCATTAATAATGGATTTGAGGGTTTGAAATAGTTGAGGAGAGGAGATGGTGTAAAGGCAGTTAGGGAGCTATTGTGATGGTCTATAGGAGATTTATTAAGGGCCTGAAGTATGATAAAAGCAACAAAAATGAGAAACATGGAACACTTACGAAAAATGTACACCATACTGACAATAGTTCTCTAAAATGTTGAACCTGGGGAACTGGGAGTATGGTGGTACCATTAACAGTGATGGAAACTGTAAGAGAATAAATTAGTTGATTTGATAAAGAAGGGGGAAATTTTGGTTTCTTTTAAATTTGTAGTGCTTGCAGGAGATGGTCTTGCAGGCATATGGAAGGTATATCTGGTGTCCAGAAAATTCTAGACTGCATAAATAGATGTGGGAAGCATCAGCATTCGCTCACTCAATTCATATATAAAAAGCACCTAATATATATCATGTATTAAAGATATAAAGGTAAATACTACACAGTCTCCTGACTCAGGGAGCTACTTTTCTAATACAGAAACCCAGTAATAAAAATTATAATTAAATATGGAAAGTCCTCTCATCAAAGTTTGTATTAATGTAATCATACATTTAGGACACATGATATATTTTCAAAGTGTCAGAGAACAAGTCTGAGAAAGTGACACCTTACCTGAGTTTTAAAGGATAAGAAAATATTTGCTAAGTGAGGGAACAATATTTAAAGAGGAAGGAAGAGAAAGAGAAAAGACGTAAAGACAACAAACAGTGGCATATATAAAAACTTTACCAGTTTGTTTGTTTGTTTATTGCTAGAGCAACAAGGAGAACATGGAAGGAAGGAATAAAAAGTAGTTTAGGACTAGGAAATCCACATTCTTGAACACCAGAATAAAACACTTGGGTATATTTAATAATGAATGGAGAATTAGTGAAAGCTTTTGATATAAGGGTGATGTGATTATATCTGTGCTTTAAGAAAATTAATTTAGTAGAGGAGTGTAGAATTAATTAGAATGGGTAAATCTTATATATGGATGGAATAGTTAGGCTCCTTCAAAATTCCAAATGAAAATGATGAGAGTTTTAAATTAAGGCACTGGTATATGAAAATAAGGGGCATATCAGAATTATATTATAGAGTCAGGATTGACTAGAGTTGATTGCTTTGATGTGGTAGGAAACCATGATTATACAGTTTTAATCACATTTTCAAACTATGTTGAAATTACTTGCCTCTGTACATCTTTAGTGTGGGTTACACAACACATCAGAATTATACCAACTGACAAGACTTAGCATCTCTTATTAAACAAATAGTTTATTAAATCTAAAAATCACTTCACATCATGGTTCTTGGCCATATAGGCATAGCTGTAATAGAATCATAATTCACTTAGAATTAATGAAGAAATATTTGCAAGTACAAAGTTCTTTTTTCTTATTTCTCCGTTAGATTTACTATCACTTACAGAAGAACTAGGAATATTGACTTTAAGCCAGCACAAATTTAATTCATCTGTAGTTCCATAGACTGAGTCTAAATGGAATTCAATTTTACTTGTTTTAACTTAAGAGCCATAATTACTTGACCAATGAACAAAAACTGGCTATGACATATATTCCAAGGTTTCTTCTTGTATTTGCATGTACTTCTTATGAAAGATCATTAAAAATAGTAAAATAGTGGTATAACAGTGTATATAATATCTTTCCTTCTCTTTCTCTTTTGCTCTCTCTATATCTATCTATATCTATATCTATCTATATATCTCCGTTGATGGGCACTTATGTTGATTCCATATCGTGGCTATTGTGAATAGTGCTGCAGTAAGCATGGCCTCATCCCAGTTGGAATGACTATTATCAAAAAGTCAAAAAATAACAAATACTGGTGAGGATATGGAGAAAAGGAAACACTGTTGATGATAATGTAAATTAGAATAGCCGTTATGTTCAACAATATAGAGGTTCCTCAAAAAAACAAAAACTGATACAACAATCCCACCATTGGGAACATATCTGAGTGAAAGAAAATCAGTATGCCAAAGAGACACTAAAGTGAATTTTGTCATAGCTGAAGCAACCTTTCAGTTTTGACTTTTTTTTTTAACCATCTGGGGCAAGAGTCTTCTAAAACTCTATTCCATGCTCTTGGACTTGCATTACAGAGGAAACAATGGACATAATTAATTTCTTTTTTAATAGCCCCAAATCATCTGCTTTAGCATCAATAATAGTATTTATGAAGGCTAAAGGGGCTGTTGAAATATGTAGAGGTATTTGTTGGAGCTGGCTTTCATTAAATGACTAGATACTTTAATTTATTCAATTTATTTTTAGGCTTTTTTTGGGGGGGGGTCTTCTTTCTAATCAAGTTGTTAACTATTACTTATTGCTCAATTCATATATGTGGCTCCAGTAGCATCTCCATCTCCTTTGAATTCAATGATTGTAATCTACTGGTGATTGAGGTATGCCATGCAAAATCCATTTGAATTGTGTATAAAGTAAAACTATGTCTTACTTAAGTAAGGGCTAAAGGGGCATGCTTACATGTAAAGCACAAGAATCACAGTGCTTGGATTCTGTCTCATGTGTATTAGTGGGCCCATAAATAGAGTAGATGGATTCAGAATGAGACTTCAGTGCATCTGTGATGTTCTGCAGATGATGCTTCTGTTTTTATATCATAACCCTATTAGTGAAATAATAATTAAAATGTCAAGCCTGGGACTGAGGGATCTAGTACAGAGAGTCTCATTGCATTAGGAGCTGAAAGATTTAGGAACCAGATAGAGTCACAAGCCCTGAGATATCTATAAAATAATTATGAAGACAAAGCAGACACCCATGCGTGTGCAAACACATGTGCACAAATACACACACACACACACACCCCTTTTCCAGGTTTCTAAGACAAGTATTGTAGGCAGAGACAAGACGGCCAACTAGAAACAGCACTTGTCCCACTGTCCCAGCTGAAGGGTGGAAGATTGAAGTGAGGAGAGCTGAGACAAATTATGACTCAGGTGTAGATCATAGGGAGAAACAATAGAGGCATCAGGGGACCCCACCAAGAAGAACTGTGACAACAAGAAAAAGGAAGAAAGAGAGGAGACGACAGCAGCACTGTGTACCAACTCCAGAGAAGCCCAGAACCAAGTGAAAAGGTAGGGGGGGTTCTCATCTCCCACTTGGGCACCTTCAGTGAATGGTGGGACACAGAGGCTCTCACCCTGTAGGAGAGTGCCACGAGGGACCAGAGAGCCAGCTTTCATATGCCTGGATGCTTCCTCCTCTGCATCTCTCCCATTCCTGGTACTGCAGAAAGTAATTTTGGCTGGAGCCAGTTTGTAGATGTGGCTCCTTCCCACACATATCAACCGAGAGAGTGCTTGGTGCTGAGAGGCCAGTTTCTCTCCATGCCCATGCGGGATCTCCTGCTGGCAGCTTGGACAGGTGGGCAGCACTGTTGTCCTCCAGATATGAGAGTGATGCAGGGAGACAGTGACCCCCCACCCCCATAGCAAGTGTGAGAGTGCTCTAAGCCCACAGGCTTGTTTCTCTGCAATGGAGGCTTGTCCTTTGCTGTGTCTCTGCCCCTGAGAACAGGGATGCATTCCAGAGGATCAGACATACGGACCATGGGGTAGTTTGAGAGCTAGTTTCAGGAGGCAAGGGAATGCACACACTTGGACTGATCTGAGGGCAGAAGGCTATGGAGTTCCAGGAAGCAAATAATGAGGGTACTTGCCCCACTCCTGCAAAGAAACTCGATGAATGGACAGGGGCCAGGGTGGAAAGAGCCTGGCCTGGAGCCTTTTCAATAACAGGAATAGGCACCCTCCCCGGAGACAGCCCTCCTAGCTTGGAGAGATTGCTCTGAACTCCATATCAGCAGCTCCCTCTAGTGGCTAGATAAGCAAGCTCTGAGCCC